GGGGGGGGGTTCCCCCTTAAATGGTACCATTTTTATTGGCTTTGATAAGAAAATCTGACGTTGTATGGGTTCGAAGAGAAATTATTTATTTGTATTACAATTTGAAATTCTTGAAAATTTGGTTTTATCAAAATCAAGGCTTAACTAGAAATATTCCTGCATAATTTAGAAATAAAAAATTACCTTAATTAGATAGAAAATGGTGAATATATGATGATTTGCCTTCTAAAAGTGGCTTATAGAACACACATTACAAAACAATTTCTCAGAACCCTGACCAAATCAGATTTTCTCATTCCAGCCAATAAGAATGACTCAACGAAGTCTTTTGTCAACAAAGTTTGGAAACGTTAAAGAAGTACACGATAATGAGTAAATATTGTCCCTTCACTCGTATTAAATGGAATTCTTAGAACATATTATGATTGAATTAGTTTGGACTGTCATAGAAATTTTATCAATACGCATTCCTAACTTGTCGAGTCTTTTGACGCTAAAAATCGATAGAAAGAAAACAAAAAAAATATTTTCTCAATGAGACGGAAATGATGCAGAAATGATGTTTCCAACTCAATGATGGAAACAGAAAGAAAAAAAAATATCACCGTCGCGACATTGGGTAAAATGACGATGAAGCTACTGCCTTATCGATAGAGAAAAGAAAAGAAAATAATACTTCTGTCGTGATGCTGAATAAGATAGAGGTTGAGTTTCCATGTTGTTGACAAAGAGAAAGACAGAAGAAGAAGTGACATGGTCTTGATACATACATAGTTCAAGATAAGAAAATCTCAAATAAACGTTTTATAGTTTTGAATGGACAAAGCATTCAACGATCCATCGATCAGTGAAGTTCTAGCTCGTACAATAGCTGAAATAAGGGAAAATGTTTTTGATCCAAGAAATAGGACAACAGAATATGTAGTGAAAGTTAGCAGTCAGTTCATGTTTTTTACTCTAACGCTTCATCTCACAGCATTAGCTAAACAAATAAATACAGTAATTCAAAAGCAACGCCATATGCTCTATCTAATGACGTATTCAGTTGAGATAAAACTAATGAGAACTCATAATATCAGATCTGAAAGCTTTTTTCTTTTACATTAATATTTATTATGCTATTTAATATGTTGGTTCATAAGTATATAATGGAAAAGAGAGAAAAAAAAACAAGGACACATGTTTGACAGTTTAGAGAATGAGAAGATAATACAACGAAGTAGAGGCAAAGAAAGAACGAAGTAGACAATTGAAAGAAAGAGAATAATCCATCGATCTTTCACACAGTAAGTAAGAAAAAAACTTGAGAACGAAGTTGCAAATATATTAGTTGGACTGCTAGAAATAGTTATATTGCTTGAAATGGGCATTATCAAACGCGATCCAATCGATAATGCAGTGCTTGGCTTGCTCACACAATCTATGGACCAGATCTAAAAGTATCATTAAATTGTAGAAATAAGAGCTCATCAAAAGGAATATTCTTTATTAGATTTCACTTTTGAATATTGGGAAAGTGAAAAGTTGTTATGATGTCGCACAAAATCTTTGTATGATACTTGTGTTTTTTTGTAGAGAATAAGAACTTAGATTTCAATTACTGACACGTTTTGTCATTTTATTTTGATAAACTCATTAGGTTTCTGCATTTACAAGAAAAACAAAAAAAAAGTGAAGATATAGAAGAATAATTTATTTGTTTCACGAAAAACATTCTCTCATCTTGTCAAATATTTGCAATCAATATTTTGTATCCCAGTGATAATCTCAAGATACAAATTGACTCTATGTAATAAAAAGAAAATCAAACACATTTTATAACCTGCTTATTTGTGTTTGCTCGTAAGAACAAGTTTTTGTCTACTCTCTTAACCACACTGAGAGAATATTGATATCCAATGACTATTCTTATATCTTGTGTTTGTGAAAAAGAGAAGTTCTCGTATCTGTTGAAAGTCTAGTTCAAAAAAATAGCCAATATTGAGAGGTGAGCAAGACGACAATGAGAATTCTCGTTAAAATCATTTCTAGCAGTTATTGCTTGCTTTTGAAGATCGTAATAAAATAAATTGAAAGTTAAATTTTCAAGTAATTTCATATATAGCTGATGATGACCATTCGATATCAAATAAGATCAAACATTCATAGTGTTAAAAGATTATATTAAACTGCTAAATTCTTTTTACTATATCATTATTGTTCATGTTTCTGAATTGATATTTATTCGATAAAAATCTCACTTACAATATTCACATCAGGAAAAAAACGACATATTGTAACTACTGAATCTGCAACAGAACAAAATTATTCATCTCTGAGCTGCATTAATTGAAATTGAACGAAGATAAAAAGCAAGTAATGATAATATCGTATTAATAAATTCTTTACGATGATAATGGATTTAATTGTATATAAATATATTCAATATTTATTTTCAAAGATTTATCTAATTCGTCACGTTTAGATATTATTCTTGACACTAATTCCAATCCATCTATTTTCTAGCAATGTATGAGATAAACCTGGAGTTCATGACACAAATGAATTGCAAAATGATTCTAAATTTCTTCATTTTATACATAAGACTTATTTAAAGAATCTACGAGGCTCAACAAGAATGTGGCTGCTCTTGAAACTTCACATCCACCCTCCTTCATTATCAAAATCTATCATCAGTAAATTAATTTTTTAATTTAATACAGATATTCTTAAAACATATGCTGACATTTTTTGTATTCGAACACTTTTCAATTGATCTTCAATATCTTTACTTGAAAAGGTGACTACAGGGATTTGATCTCGAAACTGGCCATATGTAGATTTGTAGAGAAAGAGTTTCTCTATCGAATAGTATACTTATTCTGAAATTCTGTTGCGTATCGTGAAAGAAAAATAAGCTAAAAGGTATAGATTTGACAGTTTTTAGGGTAGTCCTTCTGTACCAAAAATCTAACAATGGTTTAGAATAAACTGAGAGCTCGTCTATTTCTTCAGCCTTACTCGAGCATCATACTTTAGACAACCGTTCACAACTATATGCATTGCTTTGCACTCAAAAAAACGCTCTATCAATATGTTATACGAACGAGTTTAAAATTATCATTTTTAGTAAAATATTAATAAACTTGATATTAACTCTTACAGGACCATTCTACATATCATTTTGTAGAGTAAAAAGCTCTACGATTCGTAGTACTCGAAATATATTTCAGAATGTCAATCGTAAAACTGTAAATATTCGTTTCTCGTAGCATCATAAAGAATTAATGGAATTTCTTTTTCAAATTATTATAAGTTATGTGATAACTTGGATATCAAGAAGAGTGATATGAACTGTTGTAGTAAACAGTGTGAGTGAGCGACTGGTAAATATATAATTGAAGTAGATTTGGGCTTAGTTCTGTTCTGACATGATTTTGGTACAGAAGGATGAACCGAAAAACTGTCAAATCTAAACCGTTTAGTTTATTTTTCTTTCACGATACATAAGAGAATTTTATAATAAGTAGACAACTAGGCAGAGAAACTCTTTCTCTACAAATCTACATATGTTTCGTTCTCGGATCAAATTTTTGCAGTGAAACTTGTAGTCGTTTTTTCTCCAATATTTTTTTTTATTTCTTGCCACATGTTATGCAGTTTTGCGTAGCATGATTATGAATATAACTAAAATAGTTTGTTTTTAACGATGAATATGATATAATAAACGAGATAAAACACAAAAAAAAAGAATAACGATGAACTAAAAACAAAACGAAGTGAAACAAGGTTTTTATTTAATGATGTTTGATAGCTGTCCTCCCCTGTTTCTTGAGTATTTCTATTGTTTCTTTTAATTTAATAATAACCGTACACATTTCATTAATACGATTTGGATTTTGAATTTTTATTAACTATAAAGATAAAAATAATTTTATTGAAAAAAAAAAGATTAAATAAAATTTATATTACTTTGTTAACAGCCCATTTTATTTTATTTTCAAGTTGTTTGCAATTTCTAATATTTTCAATATGTTCTTGATTTTTTTTTGATTTTTTTGAACGTTTTATATGATCTTTTCCTTTATTTCTTGTTACAATTTTCTTTCTATTACGAGTTTTTTCTATAAAAAATAGACAAAAACAAATACTAAACTTGTTATTTTCTCTAAACTAACTGTTTTCAATATAGTCTTCATTGCAACCAACACAAAATAATCGATGGTTAGGTGTACGAAGAAGAAGACACTAATGAATATATATGTTAAATAATAATAAATTTCGAGATTATTATGGATTACATACATTACAAACTGAACAAGCATGATTTAACATACGATAACCTTTACGTAAATGTTCGTTAAACTTTTCTGTTATTTCATGATCATGTGAACGATGATGCTGAAATTATAAATACAATAAATCTAATTTATTAAAATTTTGCTCTTCTACTTCATTAATAATAGGATCTTCTTGTGACATATCATTTCTTAATTCAAAATCTTCATACATTTCAGTTTTTATATAAACATTATTATCGATTTGATTTGTATTCATGATGAATTTACGAAACTTAATAAGATATAAAAATGGATCGAATCTTAGTTTCATACTACTCGCTATTGATTCGTTATATAAGAGTTTAACTTATCATCATCTTATTTAACAGATGTCTTTAATAATCAGTCTATGTATCATCAATAAATCAAATATATCACTAGTAAATCATGAGTGACTCATCACTATTTAAGAAAAATATCATCTCTATCTATCGTTTTTTGATGATGATAATATAAAATACATTTTTTTAGTATGTACTAACATATTTATTTTTAACGAGTTTAAATATATTTCATGAAATATTTTTTTCAAAGACAAGTTCAAAAACATATTTATCATCTCATCACACTTCTAACCTATTTAAAATTGATTAAAAAACAAAAAACAAACTTGGTTTTACCAATATTGTTTTCTTGATATCCAGTGTTATTAACAATGAAGTATGCCACTCAAAATTGATAAACATATGTGTCTACTAATAAAACAATAAAAGAATTTGAACAATTATAAGTCTTTCTATATTTTTGAGCACTAGGAAAATATCAATCATTCGAGATCAGAACCAGATAGGGTCCGAATTCATAAAACATATGGACTCGTAGCTTCTTCGTATCGAGTGATGGAAAAGAAAACAGAAAAAAAAATGACTGAACATTGACTTTTTCTTGAGAGCAAAAGACATTTATTTTTTGCCTTTTATGAATAGTTCTCTCTTTTATAATTTGTTCTTTATAATAATCAGCATTTGGGATTCCTATGATAAATTTAGAGATCTAGTTTTCTAAATGGCTATGAGTAAAGCTTAATCACATTTAGTTACGATGTCTTAGTCAAAGCTAATCAATTAATAATCTTTTCTTTGTTCTTTTCCATAAGATCAAGAGAAGTCTATTAGTACTAATGCTCAGCAATAACTTTTCCCCTTTCTCGGACAATTCCACGTCGATTCAAACAGTATCTATGTCAATATAGATACGTTACATTTTAATGAACGTATTTATAGTCGAGTATTTTGTTTCAATTTGACTCTTACTGATCCAAAATCCGAAGATATTCATTAAGATAGGAATAAATAACTATTACATAAAAGTGATATGTTATTTGATCCAATACTTCTTCTCGAATGGAGAGACATATAGTGACCACCATCACCATCGGTACTTATGACTCATTTTTGTTACTAAATCATACGAGAAAGCTGACATTTTTTTTCAAGCATTACCAAATTATTTACTAAATCTAGAAATTTTTGATAATCATAGTGTATTCTATTGTTGACGATCATTCAACATGAAAAAATCCTTCAATTGAATGCAAAGCCTATGAATAAGTATTTATAATTCAAAAACTAAATAAATCCAATCTAAGCGATCAACAATCATAAATATTTTTTTCTCTTATTCTAAAACCATAAATTTAACATACATAACAAACAATGAGCCAACAATGACATCAGAGTCTCTTTAATACTATATTACATTCGATTTCATCATTTTATACTGTTCATTTATCCAGATTTTATTTTAGTTGATGCAATCATCAAATATTTTAGATTATAATATAAGAATGTGTATGGGGATCTGAGACCCACACCCATCTCGAATGACTATCATTTCCCACAAATTGTGGTTTCCTGAATCTATTCCTAAATCGGGTCCACATTTATGAACTTTCAAACAATTATGATCCATTCTGGTGACCAAGTAGAAATTTTTATTTAGCGACTAGGAACTCTTATTTAGAAATGTTTTCACATAATATATACAACACATCTTTGATATTTCTTATATTAAAACATTTCTGAATAAAAGTCCCTAGTCCCCTAAATTTAAGTTCCTCCTTGATCACCAGAATGGATCATAATTGTTTGAAAGTCCACAAATGTGGACCCGATTTAGGAACTATCAATATTGAAACAAATTCTGTTTCAACAAGACTAGAAATAAGACATCTAATACAGCATCGTTATAAATATCAATATGGATTGGCACTCAATATCTTGTTGATCGACAATAAGAATACTTGAACATAAAGTACTTTAAAAACACAAAAACTGATAAAAATGATTGATACTGATTTTATTTTGTCATAGAACCCAGTCAAGTGTGAAAGCTTATTACATGCATGTACACGTGACATTGTCATTGCGTGAGCATACATGGCATGCATGGCAATACGTCATAGAGTAAACTATATTCTTGTTTATGCGCATGAAATTTTGCGTATGCAAACGCTTAATATTATTACCGCTTGTGAATACATGCGAATAATTTTATTGAAAGCCTATGCGTTTACATACGAAATAGTTTTAGAATGGTCAAAAATCGAAATATGTGTATAATACATACATGAGCAAGGAAGAGTTTTTTCAGAGATAAGATTCGTACATGAATACTTTATTTTATCAGACGAACTTCTTCACCATTCGACATTCCACTTACATTAAAAGTGCAATCAAAGATGAAGAACATTATGTTTATCTAATAGCTATTAGACACTTGTAAACATGAACATCAATAACTATTGATAAATTCATAAAACTGAGCAAAATCTTTGAACCAATATAGTATAGATGTATGAGAATGATTTCATTTTAATGGAAAATCAATATACACTGGAGAAAAAACCTAAATTCTTTCGTGAAGCAACATACAGTCTATAAAACGACAGAAATTTGCATGCCGACGCAGAATCGATTTGATTATGTATCTTGTAATTACGACTCTTGTGTATTTATATGCAGAATTCAACAAAATTCTTGTCATCTTACAGGTACATGCAGATAAGATTTCGGCATTTACCTATGAGTCATATATCCTGCATAAACACGGAAGAATATTGTATGCAATTATTTGCAAACATAAGAATCATGGGCGGTCTCGTATATTTTGCTTAAAAACTAAGACAATTGTATTTTCATACATTTATTTGAGACATGCACGGTTGTGCATGTGCTATGCACTTGCATCTATGTGCAACAGTTATAAATATTAAATTTAGCTCGCCTTGTCATCCATGAGATACGGCAGCTTGAAAAAATTTTGCATGTAAACGCGAGTTTCTGAAAATTTCTTGCAGGTACATGATTTTTTTAAACTTTCACGTTTGACTGTGAAGCAAGTAATAAAAACTAGATGGAGAAAGTGATATCTAGGAGTGCACATCATCTCTAAAACCTCAGCAAGACTTTTGCTAAGCAAAAATGAAACTTTCTCAGCACTAAAAAAGCAATGCTCGAAGGAAGAAATAAGATTTTACTTGAAATATTTATCATAAGAATTTATATCGATCATACTCTGTATACTGTGGGGTGTCTCATTCAAGTTCGAACATAGATGAAGACCTGAGTATTCAGACTCGGTTCGAAAATACACAAAAAAAATGAAATGAAAATTTGAGGTATAGGTGTGGATGAGTGTAAGTGAAATAATGAGCCTCTCCTACACATATACCCTCAGTTTGTGAATTATGACATCTTTACCCTTTCAGTAAAAGTATTCTATTTGATACATATTTTTCAATGTATCATGATTGGCAGTCTCTGAGATTAGAGAAACATAATGAGCGATACTGCATGATGAATGTCTATTGCGAATGAATTTGATCAAACGAGTTCGAGAGAACTAACCTCTTTGAATGGTACGTTTAGTAGATATGACTTTTGAAGTTGTATTATTTGAAGATCATTGAAGTCTAGTAATTATGTTTCAATATGATATGATGAAAACAGACATCATTATCGTTTTCTTACTTTCTAAACGTTACATTCACGAATAAGTATCAAGATTAAATATTCTATAGGGGAAGAAAAGCACACCCTTAAAATTTATTCTTTTTATATATCAATTAATAACGAAAAAAGAAGACAATTTGACGAAAAGAATAGTCACACAAAGAGAATGTTCTATATTGGCATTAGAACAGTATTAAATTATAATCATAAAAACTAATCAAACAAATACTAAACCAAACTTTGTATCCTTTTCTTTTTCATTCAATTTACATAATGCCTTTTTGTTAATAATAAGAAGGATTAACAGTATATTGTAATGGAGAATTCGATCCTTGTAATGATGGATGATATCTTGTTAAAGTAATATCACTTGGATCAATTGTAGTAAAATGATTATAACCTGTATAATAATGTAATATACGTGGTTCTTCTTTTTGTTCAAAGGTTCGGTCAATTGGATTTAATCGATTTGGTCGATAAATTCCACGTTGAACATAATCATTAGTAGATTCATTATTATAATTCATCGGATTTGGTCCTGTTCGATGCCAATGTGGTGGTTCATAATGATACGATGATGTTGGTGGTTGAGGACGCCATTGTTGGGGTGAAATAGAATTTGCTGATGGTGATGTTAAAAGACCAGGACCTCGGTATGGATTTGATGGTTGTTGTGGTTGTGGATGACCAGGATTAATCGGTTGATTATTTGTTACAGATGTATTAGGTGCAGGCATTTGATGATTAGAATTAGTTATATGATCAGTAGTAGAAACATTATTGAATGGTCTTGGTGGAGGATACGGATTTGGATAAATTATTTTTGGATAATCATTAGATTTTTTTCGCCTCTTCTTCTTTTGTTTAACAACAACTGATGTCGGTGGATATAAGTTTGTTGGATAACCATTTATATCAATAAATGGATCAATAACAGCATCATTTTCATCAGTTCTTCAAAAACAAAAAAAAACAGAAACATATTTGATTTAAAGTGCTACTGATATGAGAAAAAAAATTATACAAAACAGCATTTTAATGTCAACTTTCAGAAAAACAAAACGCTGCTTGTACATTTAGACGCATTGGTTTTTTTTTATTAACAATGTATTTTTTCAAACTTAAAACTCCATCCTAGTAAATGTACCGAGCTTGAGGTACTCTGCTGAGAATCGTCTCAATACATAGGTCCTGATCAGATACTCACTCGAACAATTTTCTGGTTTTTTATAATATTGTACAAAAAGTTAGTTGACTGAATACTTAGAAGCACGCGAAAGTCAAATGCTAACAACCCTCAAAGTGCTTAACAGTTCGTATTACATGTAGGTAGCAGGGTACCTAAAAACATAGGTTGAATGTGTTCTTGAGCGAACAAATCTTTTAGAAACGCATTAGTACACAGTATTTATAATGCGTTTTTTTTTCTGAAAAATGAATTATATCACAAAAAGAGTTAAATGAACATTTGAATTTTTATTTTAAGTGAAAACACCTTTTTATAAAATAAAAACTTGCTAATGTATAGATGAGCATTTTGTGATATCACACTAAAAAACATCTATCGCTTCGGTAGGGCTGGGCTCGACATAGACGTAGGAACATAGCATAGCAGAAATATATTTTGAATATTAGGAAAAAAAAGAAATTACTACATGAAAAAAAAAACATATCAAGGACAAATGAATAAAAGAAGTTTATTTTGATTAAAAATCGGAAAATATTGTAGATAATATGATACTGAAATCGAAACTGATTAATATTTTTTCTATGCATAATTTTGTTTCCCAGTGCTTTTTGACATTCTTAACAAAATTTCAAGTAATTCAAATTTAGAGCATTACATTTATTGATTATATTTTAAATTTTACTGCAGCTTCTTTTTTTTTTCGTTATTGACTTCTTTGTAGAGGCGGTTGAGGAATGTTGATTGCATTCTTCTCTATCAAAGCTCGAATAATTTTATAGCTTATTCATTCAACGAATAAAGCTTTTTAACATGCATAGTTTTTCAAACTCTTCAAACGCAGTTTACGAGTAATACTGATAACAACCATCGTACATTTTTATTGTCCTGCTTTATATTTCTTTATAACACGAACTAAATTCTGTTCTTTCAACTATCTTGCTGATATATTGTAAAAGAATTCATCTACTTTTTTTTCTTTTTATCTCTCCTGCTTGTAGTCGATGAATTTATGGTTTCATAATGAATTTAAGTCAAGAAAAAAACCACACTGACATATGAAGTATTTTTATTTGATAAATATTGTTATAGAAATCTTTACTTTTTTCTATTTTTAAACTAAAAAGTTCCTTTGAATGACTAGTAGCTGTTGTTTTACAATCTTCAAAATTATCTATTTGATTGATAGCACGTATAGAAAGAAATGATATATATAAGCATACATCTAAAAAATGTTGAATTTTATCCAAGAAAAATTCAAATACATAAATAAAATATTTATTTTATAGAAAAAAATTATACGGCAATGTCTATTTTAGTTACAAATATTAAGCCGTAAATTCCTAGGTAAACATCTGATAAACCGACGCACATTAACAAGAAGATATGTTTGAGTTTCTGTCCTAAAATCATGTTTCGAGTATTTAATTCCATTAAAACCTATACTCCGATTTCAATAATGATTATATAGATTGTTTTGATTCCTATTTTTGGGACGTTAGCAAAAGTTATATTATTTAATCATATTTATATCATTCTATTATATGTTGCATGGTAACTTCTTTATTTTCAGAAGCGACATATCATGATTTAGAAAATTGAAACTCGAATTATACTGAACAGTTTTAAGTAGTTCATAACGATCTAACAAAACATAGAATATAAGGCAACAGAAAAATCATTTGTATGTGGACTATACTTCGAATTTTCTAATATTGACTATGATATATCTTTGCCGAAATCTTTTGTATTTTCAGTAATGAATTTACTAAGAAGCATATAAAAGAATGATGTATTTATGATATAATAACTAATATGAATAAACGAATCGGAAAAAACTCTTATAGAGAAAAAATGCGGTTTTTATGCCGATAAAACATTTCGTATGGAGCACGCTTTTGAATGATTTTGCTTTCTTTTGTAATGAAAAGAAAAACGCGTTCTAGCGGAGACATTTTGCAAATATGTGTTTTTGTTGGGTTTGAGCAGAAAAAAAAACACTCAACATACTTGGTTGGTTTTTTTAAAAGAATATCATAGATTGTTAAAAGAATAGCACCAATAACCGAAAGAATAACAGCAACAAGATTAACATAAAAACACCAATCAAGACCACGTGGTGATGGTGCTACATTGTATACAGCAAAACCAAAAACAAATAATGCTGATATACCAACACATGCTATTTAGAAAAGAATAAAAAAAAGAATCTGAAATAGAAACGATTCTAATCAATATTTAGATACATTACCTGCTGGCCAAATACAAAATACCGCTAATATAGCTAAATAATAATGAATATTCTTTCGAAATCCATAAAAAATAAGAGAAATTAAAGCAATTATTAATGATGATGTTGTTAAAAATAGAAAAACAATTTCAAGTGCTTGCCATGCATTGATACCAACTATTAGAACAAAAAACAAAACAAAGAAACTCGATAATTACAATTCAATCGATTTTATTTAACCTTTATCTGCATTAAGACGTTTTTCAATATTCGAACCAGAAGGTGGATCAATTGAAAACCAACTATCACATGTTCTATTATTAGGCGAACCAGTAGAGGAATAACATAAACGCCAAAGACCGTATTGATTCGAAGACGGTTCATTATTACTAGGAGATGTAATATTAAAACTATCATGAAACCATGAATGTTCAGCAGCGAAGACAATAATTAAAGCTGCAACAGTTAGTGTAAGTGAAACAGTAACCAAAACAAGTAGCCAAATAATTTTTGAACGCTAAAATACAGAAATAAAAATAAATTAATTCAATAATAATAATAAACTCTTGCCATGAATGTATATCTTTTTATTAAATCCTGTGGCAGTTAAATACAAAAAACAAAAAATAAAATCATATTTCAACTTTTTTTTTTTTTTTCTTTCATGAAAAGTCACTGAGATGAAAAATGATTGTTGACATAAATGTAATTCATATAATGCAAATAAAAAAAAGCACAAAATCACAAGGATTTATTTTTCGATTCGTTACCTGATCGGGAGAATAACTTGGATATTTAACTGTTGAAGGCCAGTTGTTCGTTGATGAAGGTTGATTATTATAAAACATGATTGAATGAAAAAAAAAATTATCCTTTCATAAATTATGGACAATAATCGAATTCTTGTATTTGATTAAGACAACAAATGTTAAACGATTTCGTTGAATATTTTTGTTCGAAAATGGCACACATCGACTTTTTTCTATTTGCCTTTTGTTTCTAAATGAAACGTTAAAATTCTTTTTCTCTTCAAAGACATGAGAGTAGTCTCGTAAAATATAAAAATCCTACCGCTTCCTAATAAAAAAAAGGTTTTTTCTTTTCTCTGTTTCTTTACATACAATAACGTATATAAGTATGTTTGCTAACTGGTTTTTTTCTGTCGATACACACAATTTTGGTTATTTAGTCATTTTAACGATGGATTAAATACTTTATAGCTTAGATAAAGCACAAAAAATGCATATTTTACTAATGAAAAGACACTTGAATCAATAAAAATTGGAAATTTTCATTTTACTACATCCTACTAGTCATTATTATCATCATATGAATAATTTTTCACTTATTGATTTTTTTTTCTTATGTCATGTAATTGCAAACTAAGTGTAATGGAAAATTTTTATTTGATCCTGAATAATAAAATAGAATAAGAGAAGTAATGGGGACAAAAAAAATGCATATTTGTTTTCTGAAGATTTATTATTGTCATGTTTCTATCTCATAAAAGGGAACATTCCTTATTCTTCATCCTATAGAATCAATCAAAATGTTACGATTTCTAATCATTATCAATATCTTTTTCATTTTCGGATCTGTACATGGACGAATAGAAGAAGAAGAGGGTTTACGATATACAATTACTTTATCTGAACCATTAGAAAGTACACTTGAATGGGATTATAATGAAAATGATAAAACAGAACTTATATTTCGATGGAATATTACATTAATAAATGGTTATAGTGGTTTACTTGCATTTTCAAATCATGATGTAGATACAAATAATTTAGATGTTATCATATATGGTAATGATAATCAAATTTATAATGGATATACAGATGATGAAAGTTTATTATATATACCGAAGAATGATATTGAATTAAAATATCGAATAGAAAATAAAGAAAGTATTGAAAATGGAAGAAAACATAAAATAACAATACGAATTAAACGACCATTGGATACATGTGATGAAGAACAACGAAATTATATTATTGATCATGGAACAATTAATTTATTAACTGGTTCATTAACAGATAAAGATTTTCAAACACTTAAACGTCAAAATGAAGTTAAAGTTGATGTCAAACGTATGAGTTTAACATTACAACGTGTTCAATTACTTAAAAGTCAAGTAAATTTATAGATAAAAGAATTTTTTTTCTTCTTTAGTAATAAATGTATACAATTATAGGTTGTTTATCCACCAATTCCTGATGATGCTCCACATCTTGATTATTTAAATCAAGATGTTCTAATACCTGATGATGAAACAACATATTGGTGTACACGTTTTGAATTACCACCTTTTATCATGGAACAACCTCATCATATCATACGATTCGATGGTGTTATATCACCCCAAAGTGAAGGTATAGTACATCATATGGAATTATTCCATTGTGATGTTGATCCTGATATGCAAATTCCAGCATATAATGGTCGATGTACAAGTGAAGAAAAACCAATGGGTTTAACACCTTGTCGTCGTGTTATTGGAGCTTGGGCATATGGTGCAGCCAATTTTTTTTATCCTGATGTAGCTGGAGGTATTATAGGTGGTTCAAGAACATCTCATTTTCTTGTACTTGAAGTACATTTTAATAATCCTTATTTAAAAAAAGGTATCATTGATCAATCAGGTATACGCATTTATTATACTCCAAAATTAAGAAAATATGATGCTGGTATTATGGAAGTTGGACTTGAATATAATCCAAAAAATTCTGTTCCACCACGATCAACTGCATTTCGTGTTTCTGGTTATTGTAATAGTGAATGTACTCAAGTAGGTTTACCATCAAAAGGTATTGTCATATTTGCATCTCAACTTCATACACATCTTAATGGTATACAAACATTTACTCGTGTAGTAAAACGAGATGGTCGAATTATAACACTTAATATTGATCGACATTATAGTCCTCATTTTCAAGAAATTCGTCTTTTACCAAAACCAATTAAAATTGAACGAGGTGATACAATTATCCATACATGTATTTATAATACAGAAAATCGAACAAATATGACATTTGGTGGATATGGTATTAATGATGAAATGTGCGTTAATTATATGCATTATTATCCACGAAGTAGCCTTGAATTATGTAAAACAAGTATAAGAGATGATGCACTTAATCGATTTTTTCAAGCCATGAAAAAGTAAATATTAATTAAATAAAATACAAAAAAAAAAGGTTATTTATTTTATTTAGATACTTTCATGCAAAAACGAATGTTGATCAAACAATTTATGAAAATTATGAATCAATTCATTGGACTCCAATGACATCATCTATACTTCAAACACTTTATGAAGAAGCACCTATTCATCTTTCATGTAATGGTTCTGATGGCAATTACTTACCCAAATATAATTGGCAAAATGATTATTTTCCTCAAGAACCTGAACAACGTGATGTCCCACTCGATACAGCACAATGTAAATGAGATCATAATGAGAAGGAATATTGACATATATAAATTACTTTTTTTTTCTTTCAAGCTGTATCAAATGCTACTTACTTATTCAAGTCTTTGAATTAAATGAATAAAATGACAAACATCTAGCACAGATAAACTGTGTAAATTGAGCCGTGGTTGTCAATTTAAAAAGAGAGAAAAGAATAAAGTTTAAATACAGTTGCCAACTTGTTTTTGGTCACTATCGATTATTGTGAATAGGAGCAGCTATTCTTTTCTTCTTCTTCTTTTTTTTTTTTCTTATAAATTTATCTAGCAGTACTAGTCTTAGTCAATGATTAAATCTTATTCTTTTTTTTTTACAATCGTGTCAATAGACAAGAACAAGAGCAAACGAACTATTTCTTTTATTATCAAACATATACACTTCATTTGTTGATCTAAAAGCAACGAAAAATACATTAGGTGTTGGTGATGTAATTGAATTTTAAATATAGTTGACATGTTCGAAGAGTCTTAGATCAGATGGCACATTTTATATGTTACTATACTGTAATAATACACTTGACCCAATATGTTTTAACACTTAAGAAATTATATCTTTCACCTACAAACAAAATTGCGTAAAAAAAAGAAAGAAAGAAACACTTTTACTCAAGTATCAAATTTCAAGTGGTATGAAATAATGCAAATTCAAATTCCGGAAAGAAAAAGCAACATTTACTTTTCAACAATAGAAGTGACTAAATTCATATTCAATTATGTAAAATTTATGTAATCAAATTTTTCTATGAATTGAAGCTATTTGATATGCAAATTTTTTGTATGTTCTACAATATAAAAATGGATCATTTCAATGTTAGAAATTGAGACAGAGTATCGATCATATTTTAAGTCATGATTGACTATGATTTAATGAGTACATCTATGCTGATTTCATATTCAATATATTCATTCAAATAGATAAACATTGGTTTAATCTAGATTTAATTCAAATTTGTAAATTAAATTTCAAAATTTTCTGTTAAATACTGTAGATTCTCATGTAATAAAAAGTTAAAATAGAAACAAAGAAATTATTATCGATGCACACAAAATATATGAAGATGTTCGTATCAATTTAATCTATTTTCTTTGATTCACAAATAAAAAGAACAAATAATTCTGCACAATATGCATCCTTTAATCGGTGTCAATCAATCATGTGCTACACAACCCGTCTAGAAGCACCCTCTGTTTGTTCCTTTCTAACCAATGTTAATTCTTCATCTCTCTTTATATGATTCTCTGTACCTCCGTTTTGATGTCGATACTTTTATTTCATTGATGATCATAATTTGCGACACGAATTGACAATGGTACAGTATGGATTGATTGATCAAGTTTGGCTCTTCACATTATTCTTCAACATGTTTTTTGTCAAATAATTTTAATCAAATTCTTAATTTTAGAAACATAAAACAAATGTATCATATTTTGTTAAATAAATTAATTTAGTTATCATAAGTTGTCTTCTGGGTCATAGTGTACTAGTTACTTTTGTTTTGCAATATTCGCCATATGGTGAGGTTTTAGTAGTGCAATAAAATATTATTATTTATATTATCGGAAAATAAACTCACAACAGTCAAATATATATTACTTGTTATTATTGGTATGATAGGAGAAATTTGGATTAATTTTACACATTTATATAATGACAAAATTAAGTATAAAACCATAGTCTGTTAGGGAAAATTATATTCAATATAGAACCGTTTCTCAGATTTGCTTTGGAATCGGTTTTTTTTGTAATACTTATTCATTATAAATATACATTACCAAAATGGAAATGAATTTCTAGAAAATATTTTAATATTTTTTGGTATTGAAGATTTTTTTTATCTCATTTTCACCTTGATCAATCTGACAATATAATAGACCAAACCAAATAATAGCAACTTGTGCAAGAATTTTGGTAAAAATATTTATGATGAATAATCGCTTTTGAGGCGAGACTATATGCATTATGTACATCAAATAAGCTATGGATACCCTGAGAAGAGTTTGTATTCTTAGATTATTGCTACAAAGATATTACACTTTTAAAGTATTCTCTAAATAAATGCTGTGGTCTCGTTCAAGAACATCAGAAAAATTAATTTTCGAATTCCGACTTGAAACTTGACATAGAGACATTTTGTGTATGATTGAGGTCTTATCGCTGTTCTTATCTGAAGCTATAAATATATTAATAGCGTATTTACAGTCGACTACTCTTGTTAAGGCTTGTCTCTATGTAAAGTTTCTGGTTGAAAATCGAAAAACAGTTTTTCTGGTGCTTTTTCAGGGGCAGGTCGGTATTTACATAGAAACTAATGAAAAAGTTCAGTATCTTCGTAACAATAGTTTTAGAGCACAAAATCTTTTCACGATATTCAAA